TTGTGTATTTCTGTTTTTAGTATGGGGATATGTTAAGTTCTTGTTTTTGCATTATTAGTTAGAACTTGAGTCCTTGTGTTTTGTTATTTATTGTTTGGTTAAGCTCATCCACCTCTCTTGAACCCCTAAGTTGTTCAGCCTTAGTTTTGTTTATTGGATCTCCTCATTTCCCCTTCCCCTGGATCTTAGTCTCATTTGCCCTTTGTGTTCCACATCTCATGTTGTCAAGCCCATGTTGTTTGGTCTGTCTCATCATGTTACCTGTTTTATTTTGAAAGATTCCTCTGTTCTTTGTTCATTGCATTTAGTTTCACTTCCCCTGTCCTGTCATTAGGTTATGTGTGGCAGCTGTGTCCTCATGTGTCTCCACTTCCTCTGCTCACCTCATGTGTTTATTTAGTCCTCAGTCTTGCTGTGTTCAGTGTCGCGTCGTCTGTGTTATCTCCCCTACCCCTTGTCACAGTTTCCTAGCCATAGTAAGTCATAGTTTGTATGCCGTTTAGTCATAGTCTAAATCTCAGTCATAGTTTCCCAGTCTATGTTCAGGTTTTCCCTCAGTTACTTTGTTGTTTTTAATTTTTTCCCGTGAGTTTTTGGCCCTAAATAAAGGCTCACTTTTTGTTAAGTCAAGTTTTGTGTCCTCGCCTCTGTCTGCTCTTGGGTCCCCTACTCACTCCACACGGTCTGACCCGGCAGTCCGTGACAGTAAAACCATTTTTGTAGGTGATAAATTGGACAGAAATCAATCTCAAAATCACCTCAGTCTAAATACCAAACAACTTCATGTTGACTGTTGGGACAATGTAGATGAGTCATGATTACTGTGAATCCTGTAACTGTGGCAGAAGCGCTTTTTTTTAAATTATATTCAATTTAATTTTATATGTAACAACTTCACATTTGGTGCTGAAACTAAATCATGTTACATATCACAGTGCAAAAACACTGACAATTTTTCTCTTCAGGTTTAGTTCTATACTCTTTCTTTATGATACAATGATTTTCTTGAATCATCAAATGTACTGATAACGTCACACTTACATTTTACTTTAAAGGTCTTGGATGTTTCTGGATGCTTTCCTCCGTGGTATGTAACTGTGCATTGTAAAGGTCGGTTGTGATCAGTGTGGTTTGAGTGAAAGGTCAAAGTAGATGTTGCTTTACACTGGCCATTTTGAAGCTTCTGTGTTTGAAGGTGTTGCTCTCCAGAGTGACTCCAGTGGAAATCAGGCGGATATGTGGGGCAGGAGTGAAACACAGAGCAAGATACAGACACATTTTCATCCTCATTTACCT